GATGTATTATTAGCAATAAAGAATAATAATGTGTCCAAAAATTCCATCATACGATCCCACTCAATTCAGTACTTTGATAAAAGTAGTTAGAAACTATTATAGGAAAGGAAATTACGTAACTACATTGAATGTTAGCCTGCAGGACATGATAAATGGTAAGTCAATTACTTGCAAACTTATTTTTGAAAGTTATTCTTGTATAGTATAAAATAATAATTGGTGATACACCTGAAATATGCAAGTATTCAATTACACTATCAGTTGAAATGCTAACAAGGCATTAATTAACATTAATTAATTATACATTGAATTAATTTTTATAATAATAAACTTATTGTATTTTACTTGAATGGATAACATATATTTTTAAATGTTTAATTTGAAATTTTTAAATGTGTAGCTGATGTACATGGTAGGTGGTGGTCTGTTGGATCGGCTTGGTCTGGAAGTGGTAAAAACAATACTCAGAACTCCGATAATACCAGTAGTAGTAATAATGCCTATAGTGAAAAGTTACTTGAACTAGCTAGAAAACAAGGGATGAATACTGAAATTAGAAAAAATATATTTTGTGCCATAATGAGCGGCGAGGTTAGTATTATACTATTACAATCATTCATTGTTTAATTCCAGTTAATTGTACCGTTTAAGAATATTACATTATTGAAAAACAATATCTTTTATTACAGGATTATTTAAATGCATTTGAAAAAGTATTACATTTAGGATTGAAAGGTTCTCAAGAACAGGAACTAGTTCATGTTCTTCTAAGTTGCTGTTTGCAAGAAAAGAAATACAATCCTTACTATTCTTTATTGGCACAAAAATTTTGTGATTTAGATAGGAAATACCGAGTAATTATATCAAATAAAGTATGTTTTTTTAGATTTGGACAAATAAACATATTCATATTATTTTTAGATATCATTTCAATACAGTTTATGGGATAAAATTAGAGATCTTAGCACATTAACAAACGATCAAATAAGTCACTTAGGAAAATTTATGATACATTTGCTGATTGAAAATGGACTCTCCTTGTGTGTTCTTAAGGTCTGTAAAAACAGATATATAAGATTTAAAGTTAAGAAATTTAAAGAATAATTCTAATATTTTTTATTCATTTTTTTTAGATAATAGATTTTAGTGAACTGCAAGCAAGAGAGTTAAGACTGATACGACAAATATTATTTGGAATTTTATTGAATCCATCAGAAGCTATTATTAAACACATATTTGAAAGGATTCTTAAATCACCTAAGCTGAAAATGTTTCGAGAAAGTTTGCGATTATTTCTACATCATTTTTTGGTAGCAGATAAGACATCTGGACGATTAGATGAAAAATCTAAAGAATTATTAAAGCAGAGAGCAAAAATGGTAGATCAGATACTAATCACAGGAGAATCTAGACTAGCATTTTGATACTATGTTTAAACAAAATGTACATATTTGTTAACATAACTCTAATAATTTTTAAATTTAATAAATAGTTATATTTACATATTATACTTTATACAATTGCACAACTAAGCTTCACACAGGTGTGTGAACTCTGTTTCTTATATTTCATATAATCATGCAAAAAATATGAGTTTACAGTTAACGGTTTAATAATACTTTATTCAATTGCTATGCTTTTTCACAAACACTCGTCCAATATAAATAGCGATGAGAAATCTATAAATTCATAATTCTCATTCAGACAATTTTAAATTTGTGGTAATAAATTAAACTTAAAAAATATTCCTCAATTAACATATTACTCAATTGAAGCTTGAAAAGCATGAGAATATTTTATGAATATCACATAGAATGAGTAAATTATATAAATATTATTTAAATTTATTTGTACAAAACACTAAAATAAATTGTCAACTGCTTAAGTAGAATAAACACCTTACAGAAAGCACCATGAATATGAAAGCATGACTTCAACAAACGTCTGATTTTAAAATGATTACTTAATGTTTTACACATTGCTATGTAAATACTTAAGTAATATACTCTAATTGGATTTGTCTCGAGTGGTCGAAGCGATTTCACAGTTAACTTTACATTTATTATGAATTTTACGAGTTTCATGTGTAATAATGAATGAACTTGACAGCTGCATAAAAATATAAGACGCCTCAATTGAAATAAAAATGATAATCTTTCATAAATATACGAATATATTATATTGTCATATTGCCTAGGATAATCAACATTATTAGACAATAATATTATGATTGTTGTCTGGGTTGTCTAGAAAACATAGCTAGTGTTGGCAGATGTGATGTTCATGGCTTGAGACATTTTGTTCTCGGGCTTGAAACGTCAAAATGTTAATCTTTCTTCGTGAATATCACGATCGTACACGTATTGTCCCGAACAGTTATTGATTTGAATTTTGACAGTCATTTAGAAACTGATACTACGAGTGTGTTTGTTGTTCGTGCAAATGTCACTGATAATATAAAATATTGTGCAAGAGTTATCAAACCAGAATTTATTTAAGCCAGTAACATCGATATCAGAATAAAATATGTCGGAAATACGAAAACGCAAAGGCGATGAAGAAATAATATCAGAATCGTCAGACCATGTAACTCATTGTTGCCTTAATTAGATTAACAGTGTTATATTTAATAACGTAATAATATTAAATACAGATAGATTCAGAAGAAGAAAGGACTCCTGATGAATTATATGTTAACAAATTATCGGCAGACTTGCCCCAGGGTACTGACAAGACACCAGAAGTTCTGGACAGTGCTCTGGCTGGTCTTTCTGCTAGGTATTTATTTTAGTATTTCATATACATATATTTATTTCCGCATAAGTAATATCCTGAATAGATAATCAATGTTATCATTGATAAGAGTTTCGTTGGTTCCAAATCAATTTGATAAGAATTGTGATATATATATATATATATATATATATATATATATATATGTATATATATTGAATTTTAATGTTTGCAGTCAATCCTTGATATCTCGCCAATATATATATGTATATATATATATATATATATATATAACTCGAAAATATATATATAGGTTATAAACATAAATCACACTTTCATATTGTATTATATTATTTGGTGTATTTTGTGATAAGAAACTAATGTTGATAAAGTTTCAGAAACTGTTGCGCTGTAGCAAATTTAATTTATTAAAGTCATATTTTATTGTAGATGGCGGAATTGGGTGATCAGAGGTATTTTCACATGGCTAATGATTGGAGGCTTTTGCTTGATAATTTATGGAGGACCATTAGCATTAATGGTCACTGTAAGTGAAATAGGCTTCTTTTTACTTCACCTAATTATACTGATTTAAACATTTTTGTAGACATTAATAGTTCAAGTGAAATGTTTTGAGGAGATTATAAATATTGGATACCTGGTCTACAGAATTCATGGTTTACCATGGTTTAGAAGCTTGTCTTGGTATTTCTTAATAACTTCAAATTACTTTTTCTATGGTGAAAATTTAGTTGATTATTTTGGAGTTTTAATCAGTAGAACAGTAAGTAATAAATATAAATAATGTGATATAGATTTAAGAGTCACTGTATGCCTAAATTATTATAAATAATGAAATTATAAATTTTGCAGGATTTTCTGCAGTTTTTAGTGAAGTATCACAGGTTTTTGTCATTTTGTTTATATTGCATTGGATTTGTATGGTTCGTTCTTTCTTTAGTGAAAAAGTATTATATGAAGCAATTCAGCTTATTCGCATGGACTCATGTTGCTTTATTGATAGTTGTTACACAATCTTATTTAATTATTCAGAATATATTTGAAGGTAAGAATAGTGTCATTAATTTTGTATTGGCAATTTATACTTAAGCATGTTATTCTCGGTTGATTTTTATTTTTCATCAATTTTATATAAAATTCTCAACTTTTTTTATCTGAGTGTATGTTTCAAAGCTCATTATGAAAAAAATTTGAACAAAAAATATGTTACTGTATATACCTGCATTGAAACATAGTATACATAAACATAGTAGTTGCACATGAAAAAATGATTTAGTTTAACAATATTGAAACTTATGAGGTTATAAATGATAATGTCGATTCAGTTTTTTCATGCATGTCATCAAAGCATAAACTTTGGTAAAGCATAAAACATTTTATTTTCTTGTATATTCACAATTGTTTAATACCCAGTAATATATCACTAAATAAATAAAAAAAATATAATATTGTTCAATTCTTTATGGAGTAGTATATAACTCATTATTTGTGCAAAATCAGCTCTATATAAATTTTTAATATTGAAACTAGCCACATCAATTGAACATTTACTCTGGTTTTATTTTATGAGTTATACATGATACAGTATTGGTTCATTGAAAAGATTTGATGTAGTTCTTGCTTATTGAAAAATCACATGCATATATATTTATACATGTACACATAGTTTTATTTTTTAGGTCTGATTTGGCTTATTGTGCCAGTATCAATGATTGTGTGTAATGACGTTATGGCATATGTTTTTGGATTCTTTTTTGGTAAAACTCCTTTGATCAAACTAAGTCCCAAGAAAACATGGGAAGGATTCATTGGTGGAGGTATTTCAACAGTGTTGTTTGGATTACTGGTGAGATTTTGAATGAAAAATAAAAAAAAATATTATGTAGAATCAAATTTTGATTAATTTTATTATTAAAGAACAATGTCTTATTTTTACATATTAGATGCTATTTTTGATTAAATTATTAAGTAACATATAATTTATCATGTTTTATGTAAATATGATTCACAACTTTTAACAACATATTTTTAGCTTTCCTATATTATGTGTCAATACACATATTTTGTGTGTCCAATCGAATATAGTGAAACTCTTGGAAGGATGTCAATGGAATGTGAACCCAGCCCAATATTTAGGCCACAAGAATATTCATTATCGTGGGTGAGTATTCTGAGAATTCTTAATACATCATTACATATGTATCAATTTAATGAGTTTTTTTTCCATAATATTACATATATTCAATTTGAAATTTGTTTTAGATGGGAATTAAAAGCAATATCAACATGTATCCATTTTTATTACATTCATTGTCAATGAGTGTATTTAGTTCAGTTATAGGACCATTTGGTGGCTTTTTTGCCTCTGGTTTTAAGAGAGCCTTTAAAATTAAGGTTTGTTTTTATTATATAATAATCATATAGCAAATTAATTAATTAATTAATTATATTTTATAGGATTTTGGGGATGTAATACCTGGGCACGGTGGAATCATGGACAGATTTGATTGTCAATTCTTAATGGCTACATTTGTGAATGTTTATATTTCAAGCTTTATTCGCACTGCTAGTCCACAAAAGCTTCTGGCACAGGTAAGTACATTTGTACACATTGCTATTGATATATCTCAATGTATTGCTTTATATTTGTTTATATATAATATGTTTATATATAATGTATTTATAAAGATAGTTTTTTATAATTAAATTAAATTTATAAAATGGGGTTTCTATTACTGTGTTTTACTAACTCTCATATTTACACATTGTTATTAAATATTTTCGGTAATTTTGTACTTCTTGGCATAGTTTGTTTTATCATATTTTTTGCTTTCATGTTAATATTATCAATTATATAAACATTTTTCTTCAATTATACGAATGTTTTTCAGTTGATGTATTTATACTTTATATACATAAATACTTTACGTACAACATTTTTAGTTTGGAATTGATTATTATTTATGATTATTTATGAAAATCTTAAATACTTAACAACGCTTCGAACTTTTTGATAAAATGTTGGTGTTTGTAAATCTTCGATAAACATTAGATATAGATGCAGTATTAACTTATCTATGTAACTTAAAAATAAAAAAAAAATTCATTGTAATCTTAGCATTGTACAGATTGTACAATTTTTTTTGTTATGAGTTCTAGATTTTTTTTCTAATTTTCATATTACAATATCTTACTATATGTATTTTTATACTACGAATTAATATTGTCGGTTTTATTCATTATTAGATTCTAATTAAATTGTAAGCATTTTTAAGTATTATTTTATAAGAATAGTATTGTTTATATGCTTAGTTTGTTTTCCACTGAATGAATGCTAGGACTTCAGTTGAAACATATTGATTTTACACAAACTTATATAAACTATCTATAAAAACTCTTTTTGATGTAACATTTAATATGCATATATTATATATTATATATATATATATATATATATATATATATATATATATATATAATATGTTCTAAGAAACTCACATATGCATGTAAGTAACAACACAACATTATTATAATTTTGGTTTTCAGGTATATAGTCTGAAGCCAGAACAACAGCTCCAACTTTTTTATAGTTTAAAGGATACACTCGAAAATCGTAATATATTGAACTTGAACTGATTTATTTAAAATATAATTAATATATTTTGTGCATAAATTTCTATATATATATATATATATATATACATGTATGTGTATACAATATACATATATAGTATATATGGATATGTATCTATATATGCATTCGTGCGTCAAATATGCATTTGTGTATGTGTTTGCGTATTTGTGTAGTGTGATACATGCATGGTGGTACATACTTTTGGTTGCATCATTTGATATAATAGCACTGATTTTCAAAATTTGTGCAAATAAAAAAAATATGAGGTTAATTTCGGTGGTAACTATTGAACGAGTTTGAAACTTGAAAATTGAAGGACCTCACTATCAATTTAATTTGAATAGTGATTGATAATTTTATTGATGAAAACTTAATTGCGTTATAATATACTTTATTGCATCATTATGCGGTGTTATTGCTATGTATGATTTTTACCTTACCTTTATGTTCTTTTACAATAAAAGATTCTAAAATTGCATTTCCAGCAGCCTGGTGGGTTTCTTATCAGATAGGTCGAAAGTAAACCAAGAGTATTTGAACCATGCAGTCACACATGTATATTTGTAGGTATATTTGAGTAAATGTATTGCTGTGTGTTATTGCATTTGTATTTAATGTTCAAAGAATCTAATTAGCTGTTGATAGGTTCACATTGTTTTATAGATTTATTTTAACTTATATATTTACTACTTTTATTTTTCTAGAGATACCTTTTATATATATTTTATTGAGAGTCTATATTAATTTAAGAAGAGAGTCACAATTTAGAATTTAAGAAAAGATTATTGTTATGGCAAAATATATATTTATAATTTTCTATAGAAAATTTGTTAATATTTTCAAATGATTCTTTGTCATATCTTTTATAATAAAAGACTGTAATGTACTGATTGTTGAGTTGGCAGTCATTAATTAAATTTTATTAAAAATCAATTTATATTTACATATTTTGTATAGGTAGACGTTTTATTTAATGTTTCACTTTTATTCAACAAATTTGGATCAAAGAATTATTTTTTTGTAATATTTATTATTATTTATTTACTTAATATATTCGTGTTCAATTTTAACTGATTTTGAATTGAGTCTTTCTTCTTACATTTATCATGTGTTATGTAGGAGCTATCAATCTTTTTATAAACTATAGGAAGGAATACTATTGTATTGTTTAATGCATTTGTTTTAAAAACAAAATGTATGTGAACGTAATGTCTGCGAAGAGTATGTGCAATTTTCAATTTGATTTTTTGTACTATTCATTTTGTTTTATTAATGATAGATTACATTTAAACATAAATAAAAATGATAGAACATAGTCAGGAATGAGACTCGTTAGATTTTGATTCAATAAAAGAAGCATTATATTAGTTAATATTACAATATTATATTGTTTATATAATTTTGTTTGATTTTTGAAACTTTGAATGCTATTTTAGTTGTGTTAAGCCTCACACTTGCCGTTGATTTAGGAGTTGATACCATCAAGAAATGTTTGAAATTTTTACAACATTCCTTTTAATTGGTGATGGTTTTGAATATTGTAATTGATAAAACGGTCTATGCTGTGAATTATGCATTTGTGTTAATTAAAATTTAGTTAGTATGGGAAATTTATAGTACTTATATGCAGGGTATATTTTGTCAGAGGGTAAGTGGAAACTTTTTCGTGAGGTAGTACTCCTACTTGTAGCTTTTAGTATAAGAGATGTGGTATGTGAATATAATTTAGTTTGAGTAAATGCTGTGTGCGGAATATATAGCGAATGGTATACAGTAGAAACTCGATTAACTGGGCTAATTGCTGTCGATAGGCATTCGGATAATCGAAAATCCGGATAATCGGATGATAAAGAATAATGTTAAGTGTTTATTAAAAACAGCAAATACATAAATATCAACGAAAATCAATGTTTATTAAGAAATTATCACTTACTTATGTATGTACACTATAGGGTGGTCCTTAATATGGACATTTTCGAATTTCCTTGCTCCCAGGGGCTCAAATGGTTCCAAATTGATAAAACAAATCTCTATAAGTTTTAGCTCTTAATATTGTATTCTAGATAGTGCGCAATTCAATCAAAGTTTTGTATAGAAATAGCATGGGAAAATTTTCAAAAATTTTAAAAATGTTTTTTAGATATAACTTAGCGAGCAAATGAATGAGTTTTATTAAAAATTCGACACTTTACAAAACAAATTATAAATAACCTGTTTTGCAGAGCATCGAATTTTCAATAAAAGGTGACACGAATTGTCACTTTTAATTCATTTGTCGCTAAGTTATACTTAAAAAACATTTTTTAAATTTTCTAAATTTTTTCCATGCTATTTCCGTACGAAGCTTTGATTGAATTGCGCACTATCTAAAAGTAAATATTAAGAGCTAAAACTTTTAGAGATTTTTTTTTATCAATTTGGAAGTATTTAAGCCTCTGAGAGCAATATAACTCGAAAAGTCCAGATTAGGGATCACCCTAATGTACACACATATTTTCTCAGATTACATTACATAATACTAAACTGGAATATTAATCATTGAATAAAATTTGTAGTTACTTATTTACGAATAATTTGTTACAATATGTATTTGGTAATCATGAAATAAGTAGGTAATAAGTTCAATTTGGTTTACAATATTTGGTAATGTAAGCAACCTTTTCATTGCTCGCGGTCGGTCGTCCGGATAATCGCAAATCCGTATAATTGAGGTCCGGTAACCAAGTTTCTACTGTATATATATATATATATATATATATATATATATATATATATATATATATATATATCATTGTGATTAGTTAAGGTTGAAACTTTCGTTTTGGGACATTATTTTTATGTGTAAATATGATGCATGGTTAATAGTCAAAAAAAAAATTACAAATAAAAATGGTATTTTGAATGGGTATGAAATTCATTCAAATTCTGACACTGGTAAGATGTCAATTTCAGAAAGTTCAACTAAATATTTTATAAAAGATGAATATAATTTAAATATAAAATTTCATTGGCTAGTTATAAATTACGTATTATATTATTACATATGTTAAGAGTGAATATTTATAAAAAGTGAAAGTCATATAAATATTTGTATATAACGTCTCACAAAAATAGATTTCTGACATTTTTATGAAACATAATCCTGGAATAGTTTTGTAAATTTGAATAATTAAACATATTGGTTGAACTGAATTATTAATCGAATAATAAATATTGCCGTATTGTTTTTTTTTATTAATAAACAATTTATATATGGCATTAATGCATACATGTTCAATGCAATTGATTCACAATGAAGTGAATTAATATATATATATACAGAATATTGTGTTTTTATATAGTTTAATCTTAAATAGTGAATACAATAGATAATGTATGAAAATTCTTCCATTTTTTTAATTAGTTATGTCTACTAATAAAATAAAACTGAAGTTAATTTAGTTGCTAAATAGTGCAATATTCATAACTTTTTTGCAATAGAATAAAATTGATGTTGAATGTTTTCACTTTGATTTTAATCATATTGTGTAAAATGATTAATTGTATAGCTTAGTGTAGTAAAAGTTAGAGTATAAATTTCATTAAAATTCTGTTACTGTTACTAATTAGTAACGCAGTTAACAGACTAAGTACAGACGTTATTATTTATTTTATTTAACTTCTTTGATTTTATTGAAATTACATTTAATATGATACAATAATTGTAGAAAATATATGTGAACAATCAATTTTAAGTCATCTTCGAACGAAAATTGTAAACAGTAAGTTTTAAAGTGTTTTACTCCATCACACTACCGAAATTATCATATTGCAAAAAATAAAGAAATGCTTTGGATTCGAATTGCGAAAGCCTCATTCATCTCTGATTCTATCACAGATTTTGGTGAAACTTTACATAAATAAAGCCGTATTATATAAAATTAGACTAATATAAATTGTTGGCCATCGTATTTTTTATAAAATAATATTATTCAGTTTTATTTTCGTATGCAATGAACTTTATAAATTAAAATATTTTGAAATAGTGGTCAGGTCTATATGAATAACTTAAATTGCATTTAATAAATTATGTTGAAATATTTTAATATTGATATATGTTTGTGGTTATTAGTGTTAATCAAAACTTAAACATTAAATCTGTTAAACTAACACTGTTTAATTAAAAGTTAAATTTGGACTATATGACCTAATTCAAAAGGTTTGTGTGATATCAATTATTAAATATTAAATAGTAGCTTTACTTAAAAATTTGACCAATTGAAATACTTACAAAATATGTACAGCTATGAATGCATTATTTTTAATCGGTTTGTTTATTTGTTTGAACTAGCTTTAAAATTGAAACAACTTTGTCACTACCAAAATTTAGTTGTATATGTAAATGTCGGGGACTGGCAATAAAAACCGTTGTCTGTAATTGCCGATTTGATGACTAATTAGTCGTTTTGCAAAAAAATATATTTTTTTCAAATAAAATATCTTTGAAATGTAGTAAAATTAAGTTAAATATTTAAATAGATGTGAATCTAAGAATATTGTTATATATAGGAAATATGTAAAACCCTGTTGATTTCAATATATTGTAAAATTGAAAATTGAAATATATCTCATAAACACGAGTACATATTAGTAATATCGTCATTTTATTAGCAAACCTCTCATCTTTTACGGTATAGTACCAAAGTGAAGAAGGAGCTTTAGGCGACTACATTACGCTTCAGGAAGCCTCGCAAAGTTTTTATTTTTCTTTAAATCATTGTATTATTATCTATCACCATTTGATTAGCAATAAATCTAATTTACTCGTCTTAAGTTTACTTTAAGTCTTTTTCGGGGACTGATATCGACACTAATCATACTCAGCTGTCGACCGATATAGAAACGAAACTAAAAAAATTTTTTAAAACAAAAGGTATAGCTACAATCTTAAAAAAAATGTAATGGTAATCATGAATCTGAAAGTAAAGATAAATATGGAATCTAAATTTTGGTAAATGTAGGA